TGGAAGCTGTTCCTTTCCTGCTTTGTGAGGGGGCCTGAAATAAAATTCTCCCTCATAGGACTGTTATCAGGAATAAATGCCTTAATGCAAGTTAAGAATTTAGCACACATTAAACGTGCAATGAAACCTTCGCTTAGAGCTGTTATTTTCCGTCCATAATCACAATTCTTACACCTATTTAAGTGGGTACAGTGTTCAGTGGGTTAAGTGGGGGTTCAGAGCCCGATAAGTATATAGAACTACAATTAAAAAAATTCTCCAAGAAAAATGATCTTCCTATTGTGAGTAGACAAAAGATATTCCACACTATATAAATGAGGTGAAAATTAACCCTGTCTAGTTTAGTTCAAGGTCATTGCTGTCACTTAAAAGCCTATGATTTCTATGAAGTCAGATCCTGCAGGAGTTTTAGCAGCTTTTACTGATTTGGCATCCTCCATCATGAGTGAACTGCCGTGCAGTTGAGGATCTTTTCAGCAAACCCTAAAGGTGAGATTTTATCACAGCAATCCTGACTCCAAAGTAACAAGACAGGCAGTTCAAGAAGCAGGCTTTAGCTTCCATTAATAAAGGTTAGCTATTACATTAGGCAGACCAGTATACTCTGGGGACTAACTAGTATCTTATTAAGTTATAAATACATTTAATGGCTTTAGTACTGGTTTCTTATTTTGGAATATGAGAAAAATCAGAACTCACAATCACTAGAGTCTAAAAAGCCACTGTTTTTTATAAAACATATTTACCTATAATACTGCTTATAAATTACTGTTTCTATAGAGCCCACACACTCCCTCAAAGGACAGCTGTGGTTTTCCTGTAATGGCATCAAGCTACTTGCAGTGGTACAAGAAAGTTGCAGAAGATTATAAAATAAAAACATGTTTTTCTTTTGTTAATCCTCACCCAAGGATATTTTTTCCAATGATTCTTTTTTTCTTTTTTTTTAGAGAGAGTGGGAGGGAGGGAGGAAGAGAGGGAGACCGAGAGGAAACAAAGAGAAACATCGATGTGAGAGAGACACATCAATTGGTTGTCTCCTGCACGGTCTCCTGCCAGGGCTGAGGATCAAGCCTGCGACCCAGATACGTGTCCTTGACCAGGAATTGAACCCTCGACCCTTTGGTGCACAGGATGATGCTCTCACCACTGAGCAACACCAGCCAGGGTCAAATTATTTGGTTTTGATCAAACTAGTCAAACCAGTTCAGAAAAAGATGATGAAATTTCTCTCCCCACCTTCACTCCACTTCTGGTTTCTCATTAAGGGGGGAAAAAATGCCACCCTTGCCCATCGTCATTTACTGAACTCTAAACACAGAAGGCTGTCCAAGTTTTCTTAAAAAGAACAAGATAAAGTTCAAAGGGCACAGAGTTCTCTTTCGCTTTCTGTAGAGAAAGAACATACTTAAGATCATTTACCAAATAATGAATGACTGTTACATCAAGTTCCAGCTTACCTCATCTCCTGCTGCCGACTTGCTAACTGCTCCACTGACTGTGGGACAATCCGAGAGCTGTGCGCCCTCCGCGATGCCCAGGCCTGGAGACGGTCTCAAGGGATGCTCCGGTGGTGTGAGGGGAAGCCGTCCGAGGTGACTGTGCAGAAATCTAAGTAAACTGCACAGGTGTTACATGCTCACATCCTGCCCTTGTTCCCAAAGACAAATGAACCACTTCATCTTTTCCTTCCTCCTGATAAGGACACAGGGCTTCTCATCTCCACACCCCAGAGGTCCCTCGCCTGCGGGAGCCGTGTGAAACCTGCTTTCTAGGGGGGCTGGACTGCTGGTAGCCACAGGCCTCAGCAGGGTCTAGGAAGGGTGAAAGTAGGGTTCAGAGGGGTCACATGCCACAGAGACTGAGCTGTTTGCCCTTGGTCAGGATGGACAGGCCCTACCTCGGGGGAAAAGGGCTAGAAATGGTTCTTCTGTACTTCTTCTCCAGCAGAGGATGGCCAAGCCACTGCAGCTTCAAAACCAGCAATGGGGAGGGAACCTCACAACAAACAGTGGGACAGAAGGTGTGTGGGAAGATGGTAAGTTTGGTCTAAAACAAGCAGTGTCTCGGGTAATGAGCTGTTGTGTGGAAATATGTGGGGCTCGCAGTGCCTGTAGCACTTTTAAAGGGCACTGCTGCTGGTCCTTCAGGGTTTTCTTTTTTTAGGGGGGTGGCTGGGGAAGGGCAAAGTGAGGTGAGGCAGAGCCCCCTTAAAGAGCATGGAGGATTTTGGAGCAGAGGAAAAGCCACCTCCACGTGTTGCAGCCATGAAGCCCGGCATTCGCACCCCAGCTCTGCTCTGGCCACTGTCCTGCCTTTGGGAACACCCTGCCTTCTCTGAATCCCAGCAGCTGCACATGTGAAATGAACAGACCTGGGGCATCAGCCAGGGTCCTGGCATGAAGCATTTGGCATACTCAGCTGGGATGAGCTAGTAGTCATAAGGGGACTACTTACAAAGGGTGTGGGCGGGGTTAAGGGACTCCTGCGAGGGCAGAGAAGCCCCTAAGGCCTGGCAAACAGGGAATCGGGACCAATCCTTGGCTTGAAATGATAGAGGCAGGGTGTGGTTACCAAACCTTGAAGTTGCCTGACAGGAGCTGTGGCCCTTGGCAGAGGAGCCCGGCCACCGTCAACCCACACCTGGCAGGAAGAAGCCAGGGGAGTGACTTCCCCAACCTCTCCGCTTAAATGCCAAGCTCCTTCCAGCACATCTGGTAGATCCTGACCAGAGAGGCTGGACTCCAGAATGAAGCATAGGGTAGGGAGGGGACCTAAAGGAGCAGAGAACACCCAGCACACCTAACACATGATGGGGCTGGCGAGGTTTTAAGGAGAGTATCATCATAAGTGCCTGGCATCGCAAATGGTCACTCACTACCTATTCGATCCGACTGCCTATTTGGCATTTATTCTCGAAAGGCCACAATATAACTTTTATTCTCAGGTGGCAAAAGCCAGAATGAAAACAAAGACATGTTTCACCCAGAGTGAAAAAACTTTTACAAAATTGACAGATAACATTTATTAAAACATGTCATACAAAAGGGCATGGTCTCTTCTATAAGAAGAAAATATTAAACAGTAACATTCAGTTAAGTAAAACCATGCTGTACACTGAAGACAGCAATATATATAGACAAAACTATTCAACTTTTGCAACACAGGCATAACAGTTCACAAAATATCAATAAGATATGCACCTAGTGATAATCTGTTTATCATCAAATGGTTTCATGGCCTAAGAGTCACCTGACTTGCATAAATAAAGTAATTTTCTGGAACCTCATAAAAGGAAAGAAGGCAGCAGCAACTGACATTGTGACACAGGCTTCAAGCAAAACTAAAAAAAAAAAAAAAGTCACATTTGCAAAATGTGTTCCAGCATCTTCCCATAGAATACTATCAGTAGAGATCTAAAATAAGAAACATGTACCTTTAAATATATAAGTAGCAAAGAAAAAACTCAATCAAACAAACCCTGATTTCACTGAATAAAGTTAGTCACCCATGAAAGCAACCTAAACACAAAATTAACTGTGGCATAGATGGGGCGTGGGCTGAGGGAGGGTCCTATGTTGCTTGGTGTCCAGCACTCCTAAGTGATCAGAGACCTTTTAAAAGCAAACACCTGGGTTGGGAGTGATGGAGTCCTCGCCACCCTTGGTGACCAGGGACTGCAGCAAATCCCCCTCCCCAGGGAAGTGCAGTTCTGCCCTTGGGCTCTAACTTCACTTGGAGCAGGCATCTGGGCCTCTTCCGTAGGAAGGAGCCGCTGAGGCTCAGCAGCTTTCCCAAACAGCTGGTCAGCGCAGGGCCAGTTTAGTTCAGAAAAGCCCACTAGAAAGGAGGAAACCCTCTGGGAAGACTCTCTGAAAGCTGTGGCCAGGAGAGGAGACCGGAGGAAGGTGAGATCTGCATCAGAATCAACAGGCTGGGCCCAGGAGGAAAGGCTGCCGCAGTCCTTCCGTAGACAGTGACGCCTACTTACCAAGTGGATTACTGTAATGTGTACATCTAAAATTAAAGGCATAGTATCAGTACTCACATTAAATACCACTGGTGGCGCCTTGAAGCCCTTTCCCACTGGGAGTAGATCAAACCACAGTTAAGACTCTATAAAATAGAGGACAAATACCTTGGTTGTAGGCCACTGATAGGATCCCTGAAAGACTGTTTGGAAAACGTTACCCACAGCCACCCAAACTTTGGAAGGATAAAGATTTTCTAAAGCTGTACGGAGGCTAAGGAGACAGACTATCCAACCCAGGGTAGGCAGGAAAAACAGGTAGTAATACAGCATGAACTCCTACCCCCCAAAAGCAGAGTTTATAGAATTGTCCAAACTAAGGCAATCCCCTTCCCCACCTCTCTGAACATGCCAACATTTCAGATGCCCAACTGTCTCCCAGGGTCTGGCTGGCCTGATTAACAACCCTAATTTTTATGGAAACCTCAACGATCATAAAAAACTTAAAACAATAGAGGTGAGGAACTTGGACTTTAAATTCTACATTTAGTAGCTGATGTGCATATAAGGATTTCAACAAAAAATACAGCTTCACAACTCATGAAGTAAGTCCCAGCACAACTGACTGCTTCCAAATGACACCAGAGGGCTGCCCCTCCTGCTCCTGGCCCAGTGCCGCGCTTCATTACTCATGACGTGGGTGCTCGCTGGCCTCAGCATAACCGAAGGAACGTGACTTCCCCCCAGGATTTTAATTTTACCTCTGGGACTCTTCTCCTCCAATGTCCCAATGCTCGTGTGAATATAATCTTTAATGGGAAACAGGATGTCACACCTTCCAAACAGGCAGACACTGGTTTGCTGATACCATGGAAGAGGGTCATCAGCTGTTGGCAGGACAAAAAGGCTTCTCTGCCTTAGTGCTGACAGATGAAGGGGGGGAGCAGTTTCTCCTCACACATAATGGCTGGGATCAGACCTAACCCCATTGGCTTCTAACGAGAGAAAGGACAGGAGCCGCTGAGCTTGGTTGTCCAGTCACTCTGTCAGGTCCACAGAGAAAGGACTGGTAATGGTGACGTTTCAACATGAAGAGAATATTAATGTGGCAAACAACCAAGAGGTAATAGCTAGTTTCTAGGTTAAAAAATCAATATATATATATTTATATATATATGTATTATAATAAAGTTTTAAATACAAAGTGCTTTTTATATATCGAGAATGATACAGTGTTAACGAGTAGATCCCTGTTTTGTAATCTTGATTACAAGAGTTAACTGGTGAGAACTTTCTTTCCTCTTTCTAGACAACGTTCAACAAGTAAACACCTGGTGGTAGAAGCTTAAGGATCAGAGGCCATTGCCAGCGATGTCTGTCACATCAGAGCAAAACCAAACTTTTAAAACAAAATTTCATCCCAAATCCAAGAAAAGTTATTTTTATTTTCAGGAAAAAAAGGTTTCCACTTGGAAGGAATAGACCAGTAAGTTTATGGAAAAGTTGACATAGAGTAGCACCCTGTCCTACCCTGGTGATAATTTCAGGTATATTACAGAGCTTAAAAGCATCCTGAACATAGGCTTGCGTTTCACCCTGAAACATCTGACTGATTGGAGAAAAGGTCTCAGAATAGCTGCTCATCTTGTTGCTTTTGGTAGGTATAGCTAGCTATGTGGACTTGTAAATTTATGCGGCTTTGTCTATAATTTGGGAGCATGAATCTGTAAACTACTTTCTAAAATTAGGATCCTTCTTTCCCCCCTTTTAAAACACATCCCAGCACTCCCAAAAGACCTGGCAGCCTTAGCTCAGTGTGACCCTCTCAGGGAATAAATCTCTCCTATCGATGTAGTTCCAAGACTCCTCTTTTCTTGTGTAGTTTCTCTCCCTTCACTGTGACCTGCCACTCACAATTCTGCTATTCCGCAACTCTCACTCTGACAGCTGGGGGGAGTGTCACTGCAGCACTCTATTTACTCATGAAGTTCACAGGTCATTCTCAGCTGTGACTTTTGGCTCCTTCCCACTAACTGGTCACTGACTGACCTCTTTGGGAAGAACCATCTAAGATAGAGCAGAAGGCTACAGCAGCCAATGGTACCGTGGTCAGTCACAGCAGGCTAGACGTCTACTAGCCGTAGAGCAGATCCCACTGTGTGGATGCTACAGTTAAAACCTAACGGATTTGGGACAGCAAGCCAATTAGAAATATCTATCTCTGGCACACTAGAGAATTATAATTAGATATAATTGTTCAAACTAAATGCTAGTACTAAATACAAAATTCTGCCTTATCAAGATTCTGAAACACACTGTGACAGTGGCATCTTACGGAAACCGAAGCTTGTACCATAAGCTGTTTTACACTTCAACTGTCACCCTCTTACTATCTTCTTAGTTTCAGTTAAAATACCATTTTAGAAAGAATAAAACCAGATGAAAGCTCTGTTAATCAATTTCGCATCCTAAGAATCACATTGTTTGTGGCTTTTACATAAGTAGCATTTCATTCAGTAAAGCAGCTACCAAAACAAATCCACATTACCTAAGTATCTATAGCAAGAGCAAAATAAGCTTCCATGACCTTGTAACAAGTGATCAAAAACGGCTACCACCTGAAAGGGAACTGGTGGGCTAGCGTCCAGTTCCAAGTGCAGGTATCTCCATCACCAAGTCCACCTGCCCCAATCACAACAAGCGTAAAGGTGTACCCGGCCAGCTGGAAGGGGGGTTACCCCCATTACCTACTCCAGACCTGGACTAGAACATACAAATCTGAGGAACTGGATTTTTTTAATTGGCCTACTTAGAACTGGTCTTTCAGAAATATCTTCCATTTTTTTTAAGCTTCTCTCATAATAGCAAGTAGCACACATCATCTGTGCCCAGATTTGCATAATTACCATCTTTTATTTTGGTGCCTGCCACTCAAGGGCCAGATACTATTTTTAGTTAGCCTCAGTTGTATTCTGCTCAGCTTTTGCAGCTTCGTAAGACTTGGTACAAGAAGTCACGTGCCTGTGGAAACTGTCCCTCCACATAAATCTCTTTGCACAGATATTACACTCATATGGCTTTATGCCTGTGTGAATTTTCATGTGGCCCACGAGGTGATGCTTCATTTTGAATTTCTTACCACAGACACCACAGCCATAAGGCCGAAGGCCGAGATGCATACTCATGTGGCGGTCTCTCTGGCTCTTGTGAGTGAAACTTTTCCCACACTGACAAGGATACAGCTTGTCAGTGGCCGAGAATCCCAAGTGGGAAGCTTCTTCTTTAATCCCTGTTACCATTTCAATATTCTCACTGTAGCCTGCGGGTAGGGCAGCCTCCTGTCTGTGCCCAATCAGATTGCCCTCTGACCTCTCTCCAGAAAACTCTTCCATGGAAGAGCCATAGAAATCCACCTGCTCATCGTAATTGCTTTCATCAGCCTGTTCGTCAAATTCTGCTTCCACTTTTTTCTCCACGATGTGAAAGTCTTCCTCTACTCCCGAAGGCTGGACCGAGTGCTCCGCCTGCATGTTGTTGATGGACTCAGTGACCTGGTGTTCATCGTAGGGCGCGTGCACGTCCATGCCCTCGCACGCCTGCTCAAAGCGCTCGGGCTTCACGTGGATCCAGCGCTTGTGAGCCATTATGCTGGGCTTGCTGTACAGAGGCCGGGTGTAGTGGAACTCGGCACTGTCGCTGGCCGCCTCCTCCCCGTCCTGGCTTGCCATTTCAGTGCTCAGCCGGTCGTGCTCTGTGGACGAGTTGCTGGGAAGGTATTCGTGCTCAGTGAGCTGAGATGACAGCTCGTCTTTGGTGCTCTCCTCTTCATTCTCTCCATCCCTCAGTTCCTGGGATTTGGGGAAGTCAGTATGGCTCCCAGAGCCCAGCTCAAAGCTCTCTACCAGGCCATTGTAACTACTGCTGCTTGGAGACTGGTGATCGCTGCTATGATTTAGCTTTTGACAAAGGACGGTAGGGTTTCCCTCTAAAACCTCAGTGCACTTGTCTACCACATGCCACATCTGGAGAAAGCTTGCTGCTGTTAAGTAACTAACAATTTCTGGAGCGGGCATTACTAGACGTCCCGTGTAACTAGACAGGAGAATGTTCTCAAATACTCTTGGGTTCATCACATCAGGCAAAACAATCCTCCTGCTGTTTTTCAGAAGCACCTGGTCACAAAAGTAGGGCGAACTGGCAGCAAGAACAGCTTTGTGTGCCCGGAAAATGTGGCCTTGCACAACAATGGAGACATCACATAATTGTCCTTGCTGGCGCTGCTGGTTCAGTTTCTGCAGAATGGTGCTGGAAAAATCAGGAAATTCTACTCGAAAAGAGTTTGTTCCAGGCTCCATTTCATCACAAATCTTGTTCAGTGCTACAAAAGAAAGAAAAATGAGTACTAGTGCCATCCCAGAGAGAAACTTATTGATCACTAAGAAAACTGAGACGGGTCCCACAGTGCCACCAGAGTCTCGCCTGTGGGCATTGGTGGGTGGAGCATTCATTCCCTGTAGGGAGCAGCTATAGGGTTAAGCCTCCGACTGACCTGTTGGCAAAGCCACAAACAAGTCCCAGCTTAGGGGACTCAGCCCTCTTAGCATAATTAGGCTTGACCTTATGAAGCTTCCTAGATCTTATCTGGGTAGCTAATGGGCTGAGGGAGATGCACCAAGTCCTGCCAAAACAAGTGAAACTCACAAGAACATTGTAACTATGGTGACCACTACCTTGTTTACCTCTGGCTATAAAATAAAGGCTCAGCTTGCTGTCTGGATCTCTCCCTGTGGCCTTAGCCAGGCCCAGGAAGATCCCCCTAGACCAGCCGTGGGCAAACTACGGCCCGCGGGCCGGATCCAGCCCGTTTGAAATGAATAAAACTAAAAAAAAAAAGGCCGTACCCTTTTATGTACTGATGGTTACTTTGAATTTATATTAGTTCACACAAACACTCCATCCATGCTTTTGTTCCGGCCCTCCGGTCCAGTTTAAGAACCCATTGTGGCCCTCGAGTCAAAAAGTTTGCCCACCCCTGACCTAGACCCAGCTTATTCTCTTTGTCTGTCTTTTCTACATCCTTCGCCGCACCCCCTCAGGCTCACCGAACCCTTGGCTGTGCTGGCACAGCACAATTCCCCAGAGCAAGGCTGGCAGGTATGAGTGTGCCAAGAGTAGGAACCACCCACCACTCATCATGGTATTAACTCTTCATTTTGCCTGTGTCTGAAAACCCAACAGATTTATCAGTGGTATTTATCATATCACTCTAATCTATATCTAAGTATTGCTAAATACCAGGTAGGAGATAAAAGTATAAGATAAAAGAACCAGACAACCAAAGCAAAGATTGCAAGTCAACAATGAGAGATAGGGAGAGATGCCAAGAGAAGAAATGAATGTTTCTTGAGTATAATGTCCCTGGTATGTAATTACTATATATGAATATACCCATTTTTCAATTAATCTTTATAATGACTCTGCAAATATAGGGATTGATATTCAAGTTCAGTGATTTCAAGCAACTATGCCAAGCTCAAAATAAAAGTTTTTATTAAGATGGGACTTGAATCTAGGTTTCTATGACTCCAAAGCCTATGCTATTTTCCCTATCACATCATTCTGCTGCTTCTTAGAAGATGCCAAAATACCAAATAGTCATTAATAATTTTAAAAGGTAAGACAGTGTTTTAAGAATGAAGTATTAGTTGATGGTTTATACCTCTTAACATGTTTCATCATAACTTAAAACAAAAATAGACCAAGTAACAAACTATTTAGATACTTGCAGTTTCAAAAAGGAAAGAAAACTATGTAAAAGTATAGATTAGAAGTATGTAAACAGATTCTCTGCTTGACCTCATCACTGTAGAATTTTGTTTTTAGCTAACTAGAAAAAAACATGGGGAGAAGGACTAATACACACGAGTGGGATTAGTTCCCTTATAAAAGAGACACCCGGAATTCCCTGTAAGGACAGGACAGGGAATTCTACCGATGAACCAGGGAGTGACACTGAATTTTCTGCCCCCTTGACCTTGGACTTCCCAGCCTCCAGAACTTTGAGGAATAAATTTCTATTTATTTTGTTACAGTAGCCCAAGTGGACTAAGACACCACATCAGCACAAAAAGAGCTAACTCATTTTGTTCAAATGGATATTAGTTTCCTGCTATATGGATTTATCATAACTTAAGCAGTTCTCTCCTTACAGAATTTTAATTGTCCAGTTTGAAATGATGAGCAATGCTATAATGGACATCTGTGCATAACTATCTTGGCATATCTTTGAAATATCCATAGATTAATCTCTACCAGTGGAATTGCGGGGTCAAAGAAAGGGCTGTGCATTTGACATTCTGATATGTATTACCAAACTACTTTCCAGAAAGGTTGCACCAAGCCACACTCCTACCCACAGTAATGACAGTACCTACTCCCCCACACTCTACCAACATTGGATGTTATCAAATAAGATCTTAAAAATTTGGCAAATCACCAAAGTGACTAATCTATGATTCACTGTTGTTTTGACCAACATTTCTTTAATTATTATATAAGATACTCTTTACTCATGTTTACTGGTCATTTGTTTTTCCTATAAATTATCAGTCATATCCTTTGCTCAAATAAATTGGGCAATTCATCTTACTGATTTGTAGTTTTTTTTTGTAAATTCATGAAATTAACTTTGAAATGTATGTAAATTACCCAATCTTTACTTTTACGGCTTCAGGGCTTTGTGTTAGACATGGAAAAGCATTCCTAACTCCAAGGTTATTTTTTAAAAGTAAACAAAAATTATTTAGGCTTTTTCTTGGTACTTTTTTAAAAAGCATGTTAAACCTTTAATATATAAAGTTTATTTTGGCATAAAGAGAAATACTGGGATCCAGCCCTTTCCCCTCCAAAATGGCTAGCCTACTTTTCCAACACTATCATTGAATATCCACTTTTTCTTCAAGATTCAAGTATGTGTTGTAGAATTTTAAATGACTGACAATAGACTTTTATTTTTTTTAAGGGAGAGGGATAGAGTTAGAAACATTGATGAGAGAGAAACATCGATCAGCTGCCTCCTGCACATCCCTTATGGGGATCAAGCCCGCAACCAAGGTACATGCCCTTGACCGGAACCGAACCTGGAACCCCTCTTCAGTCTGAGGGCGATGCTCTATCCACTGAGCCAAACCAGTTAGGGCTGACAATAGACTTTTAAAAACAGTTCTACAAACATAAATGCCATAGCACTGTTATAGAAAACTAGAGGCCCAGTGCACGGATTCATGCACACTGAAAGGAAATTAATTAGAAGGTGGCCAGTGGGGTGGGACTGGGCGAGATGGGCTGAACACACCCTGGAGCCAACCTCCCGTGGTCTCTCCTCGGCTGGCCATACCTGGGGCGGCCCCGGGGCTCGAAGGGCATCTGCGGAGTGAGCGGGGTCCCTCCGGCAGGTGGAGTCCCTTGGCCTGGCCTGCGGGGATCGGGCTGAAACCAGCAGTCCGACATCCCCCGAGGGGTCCCGGAGTGCAAGAGGCACTCTGCAAAGTTGCTGTCGCTGGACAGCTCCTGCATTGAGCGTCTGCCCCCTGGTGATCACTGTGCATCATACCTACCGGCATGTCATACCTACCATCTCACTCAGTCGCTTAGCCTTTTATATATATAGATGGTGGAGTAGAAAGCTCTAGAGGTCAGGTCCTCCATAAAAACAATCAGTAAGCTGTTAAAATTATCAGAATCAACTATTTTGGAACCCTGGAATCTGATCAGACACTTATAGTAACTTATAGCCTCTCCCTTGAAGAAGGGAGAGGCAGCTGAACCTTGCTAAGAAAGCAGTGTGCCCAAACCAGCTACAATCCCTTCCTCAGCCCTGTCATAGCCTGGGGGACATTGGCCCACATTCCTACAGTGCTGGCTGATGCCAGGGTGGACAACAGGGCCATGTCCTCCAAAAATTGGGGGGTTTTGCCCCTGGCCAGTCTGGTAGACCCACATAGCTTTGTTTGGATTCCTCAGGTTGCAGTGGCTTCCCCAGAAGCATCTATCATAAGGTTTTTAAAAAAACCAACATATGTTCCCCTGCATTCCTCTGGGTCAAAGCATTTAAGGAAATCTTTGTCAAGTCACAGTCTGACCACATAGATAAAGCAACAGAAACTTCAGTGACTATATACAACAAGGAATACTATAGACTTTGAAAAATAGTTTGGAAAAAAACACTGTTCAAACAGGCCACTGCAGCCCTCAACGAGTAATAAAGGAAATTGCCTCGGAGGGGAAGAATCTATTTCAAGAGCCACCACATTAGAATACTCAAAATGTTCCAGTTCTTAACTAAAACTAAAAACTACACAAAGAAAAAGGAAAATATGGAGTATTCACAGGGAAAAAAGAATCAGAAATTCCAGACATTGCAAGCACTCGTTAAAGATGGTAAATCAATCATCTCGTGTATCAAATTGCTAAAAACAAAACGAAAACCCTATATGACAAAGAACTAAAGGAAATCAGGGAACAATGTCAATGAAGAGTCAGAAATTATAGAAAGGAACCAAATAGAAATTCTGGAGCTAAAAAGAATAATAGCTGTGTTATAGGCTGAATTATATCCCTTCTCCCATTCATATGTTGAAGCCCTGTAACCTCTAGTACCCCAGATGTAGCTATATTTGGATATAAGGTCTTTAAAAGGCAATTAAGTTAAAATGGGGCCATCAGTGTGGGCTTTAATAGAATCGGACTGGCCTGTTGGTAAGAAATGAAATTTGGACACAGTGGGAAAGTGGCCATCTGCAAGCTAAGAAATGCTCAGGAGAAACCAAATCTTCTAACACCACAATCTCAGACGTCTGGCCTCTAGAATTGTGTGTGTGTGTGTGCGTGTGTGTGTGTGTGAATTCTGTTATTTAAGTCACCTAGTCCATGATGTTTTGTTATGGCAGACCTAGGAAACAAATATGAGCTGAAATTAAAAATTCGTAAAAGGAATTTAATGGCTGATTTAAGCAGGCAGAAGAAAAAAAAATCAGCAAATTCAAAGATAAAGCAAATGATATTATCCAGCCTGAGTAGTAGAAAGAATGAAGAAAAATGAACACAATCTGAGGCACCTGTGGGGCACTATTAAATATACCAACACTAACATGCACATCATGGGATTCTCAGAAGAAGAAAGGGTAGAAAAGATATTTAAAGAACAATGGTCAAAAACTTCCCAAATTTGATAAAAGACACACCTACACATCTAGAAGCTCAACAAACTCCAAGCGGGATAAAATTAAAGAAATCACATGAGATACATCATAAGTCAAATAGTAGAAAGCCAAAGACAAAGGATAATCTTCAAAGCACAAGAAAGAAGCAACTCATCACGTAAAAGGGCTTTTCAGTAAGATTAACAACTAATTTCT